GAGCGGATTTCTAACGGCCGTGATTTATCGGCATGCCGACGAGAAAGAGAGACCTTAAATTCAGTCGCGCGATGCCGGCTTGTTGCCGAAAAACCGTACCGTCCACAACAAGATAGGCGCAAGAAGGCGCGCGCGGGCATTGATTAACGATAGCGCGCGGTTTTGTATCTCGCCGCTTTATCAGAACTATTTGTAACTCGTGGACTTTGTGCGCGCGTTGTGAGGAGAGGCCACTTGCCACTTTGCGGCAACTTCGGAAAAACGACCTGCACGACGCCGACGGTTCGGGTGCCCCCGGGTGAGACTTTCGCGGCGGCTCTCTCCCTCTTCACCGTGACCCAAAGCATAATTAATGACACTCCCGTTATAGAATTAATGTTGAGGCAACTGATTTACTTATATCGAGACACTTGCCCATCCCAAGGACGTAAGAGCGCGATTTGCGACGAAGGAAGATGAAAACCTCCCTCACGATGACCAATCAGCGAGAGCTGCAGTCGATCGTTCTTTCTTTTCTAGGTATGGTATAACCGTGAGAACGCACGGACAATAATATCCCCGAGCTTAGCGTTTAGCATATAATATTCTTAGAAAGTGGAGCACTACTTAAACGATAATATTATTCGGACAATATTGGACGAGAGAATACAAATGCAATTGTTTGAAGACAATTATTTTCTTAGAAAAATAATTATTTAATGCCGCATATAATTAGATTGCAGGTTGCACGAAAGTTAATGGGCGTTGAAACAAGGTGATTCACGACTAAATGGGACCGCGTTAAACGACAATACTGCAGCTTTTCCGAACGGACGGACTTTATTATTCGTTCACGGCCATCCCCGCGGTATTTGACAAATGTGATTTTATTTACGTTGAAACCCGCGGTCTGTTGATCGGTTCCGAAAGCAGGTAATTCGATTTATCGTGTCGTTAGTCCAGAATCCCCGAGATCGCTACAAATTTCCATGTCAAAGCAAACGAGAAGCGGCTCTTCTCGACGTGCGAAAACGCGCGCGCGCACAAGCGCACAAGCGCGTATATGTGTGCGCGCACGTGCTTTCATGAACATCATAAACATGCCATAAACGCGTTAATATTTTGCAGATGTTCCGAAGACGCATTCTTGACAAAAAACACTTAAATATATTAGCGTAAAGAATATACCGAGCATTAACTACCGTTTAACGTGTCTCAAATAGCGCCTCTTATCTCTGCCTCCGTAAGATGTAACGCCTGTCAGACGTTAATAGCTGGTTAATAGCTCATCATTGCTTACCTTTTCTTTATAGCGTTTCCGTACGGCGCGATAGATATATCTACAGCGTATAAACACGGTGCGTTGGTTCAGTAAATATTCATTAAGTGAATCAAGCCTATGCGCAGACTTTTTTGCAAGAAAAAGCCAGCCGTCTCCGTTATTAATCGCCATTTCAAGTTAGTCCCGCGAGAAGTGTAATTTCCGCAAAGACATTCTTTAAGCGCACGTCTCTCACATCGGCAGATCTGTCGCGTCTGCCCTGGTAAATCGCTCCGCTCGATAAAGCGCAGGCGAGCGAAAATTAAACGTGGCTCTCATAGAAACGAGATTGCTCCTCAAGAGAAAGCTCTCCGCAGCCAAGCGAAATCTCTCTCTCTCGTCCGGAGGAAAACGAACGACTTTCACCAAAGTGACCCGCGCCATCGGCTTTATCGATAACGACCTATTATCGCGGGGCACAGTCACTTACACGTTCGGCGCGCACAGTCGCATTCAACCGTTCGTCTCGTAAATAATCGACGAGCGGTAGTAATAGCCGACACAAGTCAGCGCTAACCAACGGTAGTCTATACCGGGATCGATAGCGCGAAAATTCGTTGCGTATTCCACGAACGAAAACGAAAACTGACGCGTTAGCGCTAATCGTCGTTCACGCGCGAGATGCATCCGCGTAAATGCGAGTCTCTCTCGTGATGAACACTGCGACGACGATCGTTGATCGTGAATTCTCAATGGGGAACAGGGACACTCTTAGCGATGCCCTCGATCGTGCGACTAAGGATTACTCAATAGACAAAAGGCATTCGGCACAAGAAGATGGTACAACATCTATTTGATCTCTTAGCACGCATCCGATAATATGAAAATTCCACCGAGTTCGCATCTCACGCTCGTCTATACGTTGCGAAAACACGCTGCGCTCTAAACGTCTAAGATTTATCTAGGCGGACAGCGTCGCATTAATAACAAAATCAAATATGTAAAGAATATACCAATATCGCATTCTTTTGCATTTGGCCGATTAAATTCACCACGCGTATATGCGCGTGTGCGGCCATGCAGATTTATTTGAATAGGCTTTCAGAGGGTATTGGGAAAAATGGAAGCTCAGCCATCCATGGACCGCCGAGAGACGTTCGGTAGAAAATTAAGGGTCGCGGAACCCCCTTCTTTTGCTGAGATCACGCGCGACCGAGGCGAGCAGAAATGCCTTCGATATTTTCGACGTGCAGCGGGGCATTCGAGCCAAGATCCTTTATCAGAGCTGGGAATTGTTGTTCCGCCGATACACAAGACGGCCGGCTTTGATCGCGGATTAATCGAATGGGCCGCGATAGCGAGCATTCCGCAGAGCCTGGTGGCGCCTGATCCGGGATAGCCGATAGAGAGAATCAGGCGGGCCTAAATAGCGCATTCCCGGTAACTGCCGATAAAGCGGCATGTTCGATACAGGAAACGAAATACGATTGTAAAAATACGCCTTTAACGTCCCCGTTTACGATTGCGCGCCTTAGGTTCGTGCGTCTCGCTACCGTAATTATGTAAATATATTGTGCAGCGCGTGGCCACGTACAGACACGCGGTTGCTTCTTACGTTCGTAAATCTATAAAGAAACGATCAGTAACGGAAAATAAAGTCATTGATTGCGCGTTTCCGGGTTACCGGATAAACGTTACTGGAAAATGGAATACGTATATATATATTATATATTATATTTAGATATTAAATGTATATACGATATACAATATAAATATAATTATATAAATATAATGTAATAATATTAATATGCTTGTTGTATGTATTATATTATGTTAATATAAATATGTATGTTATTAATGTAAATATAATATATTAATATATAAATATGTAAATATGTATATATGTATTTACGCGCAACTGGCGAAATATGCGCCATATAGATAAGTCTGGCAAGGGCAGAAAGGCGTTCCCCGCATGGTTGGCCACACGTATGCCGCATTCACTTTACGCGACACACGTGTGTGTGGTATAAATTAAAATTGCAAATGTCTCTACTTTTAAATACGCACTTATATAAGCCAGAGATAAAACAAAACGCTTTACACGGCGATATCTCGTGCGATCGATAATAAAAGAACAAAAGCTTCGGAAATTTTCGACGTATGTACAAGGTCGAAGAAATAGCAACAGGAATTAGCGAGTACTCATCAATGTGTAAACTTCTTTTACAACTTATATCCGCTTCCTTTGTGGAAGATGCTTTTAACTTTTTCTAAACATCTTGGAACTTATTCCAAGTGTGGAAAATATTGTCAAAAAGCAACTTGTGGAAAATATTGTCAAAAAGCAACTTGTCTTATAGTAAGAATCTCACGTGTGTGTCATTTAAAATTACTATAACTCGTATAGTAATTCAGCGAAATAATTGAATTTAATGTCTAATATTCAAATTTTATAGAATTGCATTAATTCTTCGCAGCAGTTTACCGCTCAATCAAAGCGGTAGCGTAAGACGTGAGTTTTTATGATGCTTGCAAGCCGAGTTAATTGAAGAACCTCATACGCCACTTGGGAATCGCAGCGGCGATGCGTGCAAGCCGCGCGATTTGCACGCGCGTATTAACAGACGGCCTGGCGCACTCGAGAGGAGAGAAAACAGAAGAAAAAACCACCTCACGTGCCTCTTGCCGTTCCTTAGAAAATCAGCGGATCGTAATCGGCGCGTATAATAGCACCGGTTACGATCCGCTAATTTTCTAAGGAACGGCAAGAGGCACGTGAGGTGGTTTTTTTCTTCTGTTTTCTCTCCTCTCGAGTGCGCCAGGCCGCGTGATGCTGTTCGTGGAAATGCAAATACGCCGTTTGTTTGCTCAAATTGCGATCGGTGCCGTAAGTCTGCGGTCTGTTTGCATTACCTCGGATTGGGCCATCCACTCTCGCCCGTCGCATCGGTATCGCCGACACCGTTCAACGTAACGTCTAAATTTTGCACGCGATCCGTCCGCCCTCCTCCCCCTTCGTAATTCACGCCCGCCCATCGTTAACGCGACGGGCGCTATTATATATCCCAAGAGCGAGCCGATTACTCGCGATCCGGCTGTCGACTCGTCGAAAATTGAACGGCGAGAGCTGCCTCGAGTGGCGAACGGCTGGGTGGCGGAGGGAAGGAGAGACGCGAAGGGATCGATTCGATAATACGAAGGGAATACATCCGACCTCTTCACCTCCCCCGCTGGCTCAGGACCAGCCAAGGGGGGCACGGCCTGGAAAAGGGGATTGAAGCGAAGATTCCACAACGTCGAATCGGGGATGTAGGGATTCTTACGCATTGTGACGGCCACTTAATTGCCCTTGAGAATCTCTCTCCTCTTCTAAATGGAGCGCACTCAGCGTTGAAGGGTAGCTCATAAATATTTTCGTTATGCTCGAAGGAGCATTTCTCGCGCTTCGCGTAGGGATAGGAAGTGATTTACAAGTTATGACAAATCCGCGATCAAATATTCTGCGATCAATTAAATCCTATACTGACAAATATAAAAAAAAATAACGAAAGAAATAGCATGCAATTTAAACAACATGGAAATTCGATATAGAATATCGATGGCTGAAAAACAACATCTGGAAAAAGTTTGTTACGTTTTCTGAATCTAAAAAAAAAAATACTACAAATCCTTTTTTCGCCATAAATTTCTAAATTTATAGTCTCAAATAAAAGTAAGCCCTCGGAAGCGTAGGAGAAAAGCGTATCTTGATACTCACGGACGAAGATGTTGCTCATCAACGTGGCCGGCAGGCAGAAGACGATGACGAGCACGTCGGCCACCGCGAGGTTGACGATGAAGAAATTCGTGACGGTCCGCATGCGGGGTGACCGGTATACCACGGCGATAACGCAACTGTTGCCGATCAGGCCGACGACAAAGACGACGACGTACGCCACGCAGTAGACCGCCGACATGGCCATGCTGTGCCTGTAAAGCCGATCGGACGCGTGCTCGATCGCCGACAGATTCTTGCTGGCGTTGAACAGCCCGTGGAGGACCTGATCCTCCATGGTGGAAGATCCTGCACGCGGACTCGTCGTCGCGATCGCCTCCGTGATGAGATTGTTGAGGTAATCGCCGAGATCGCTCCGCATCTGCAGCAGGGTGCCGGTACCCGGCGGCACGCTCGCGACTGTCGTGGCCGGCACGTTGCCGTTGTTACTCCTGCGGCGCGTATCAACGTCGAACTCCTCCGAGTCCGGTAGTCGCAGAGACGCCATCTCCAGGAGGGGAGACGGTGGCTGCAGCATCGGGAACTTGAGCGTGTGGTGACGGATCGACGTTTCGACCATTAGCCGAAACGCTAACGCAGCGTACCGCCGTCGCTACTCCGCCGCTCCTCCTCCTCCACCTCTTCCTCCTCCTCGGCGCGCTCGCCGTCGTGTCGACAACCCCGGCCAACCTCGACGCCTACGCGACCTTCCCGTCGCGGTGAACGACGTCTCTCGTTTCACTCGGTAGCTTCTTCCGCGAGACTCCTTCCCCGCACTCGGCAAACGATCGGACCTGACGAACGCGAGAGACTCGCGCGAACGATCCTCGAAAATGATCGCTTGATTATGGGAGACAATGCAACGTCGGGGGTGGATTCAACTTCCGGCGCTAACGGTATGCCAGATGACAGTAACGGCAAACTTTCGAAACCGGCATCGATCTCTCGCCGGGATCGCGTACGATTTACGCGCGTGGATCGGATGCTGAGGAACACGCGCGGTCCAGCCGAGCGCGATTCGCACGTGTGCCAAAGTCCATCCGACCGGGGCCACTCTTCGGGATCATCGGGAGAGACTCGATCGAGGGGGTGAAAATTGAAAGTAGCGAGGGTCTAAGTGGTCGGGCTAAGTGATCCGTCGAGGCAGGGGGTAGGCGGAAGAGGGAGGGACGGGGGAGAAATGGATTGTAAACGATGTGAAAGAGGCCAGAGTACGTGTGAAAACGTGTATTTGCCGCGGCCGGGGATGCTGAGCGACTAATGGGCCTGCCTTAGAGGACGACCGCGAACTGCCGCGCGAGATGCACCCGTCGCGGCGAGCTGTCTGGCGATGCTCGACGACTGCGCAAGCGTTACCATTCAGCGGCACATGCACCCGCATGCGAATGTGCTCGCGCACTATCCACCAGCCACGCCGAGACTGGTACGCCGAGCGAAAACTGCAGGGAAAATAGGAAGAGGCGCTCTGGCGACGATGACAGCGCGAACGCGCGCGGCCGCTCCGCGTATAGAGCGGTCGCGCGTGTCCGTCCGTCCTCCGGTTTGCGTTTCGCCGAGACACGCGCGACGCGAATTCGTAAAATCCCTCTCCGTTGGCATCGCTCGCATCGCCGACTCGGCGCCCCGGCGCGGCGTGGCGCGGCGCGACCCCCCGTATCCCGTTTACCCCCTCAGCCAAATGTCGCCAAGCGATTCTGCCGCGCGCACGCTGGTACAAGTGCATCGTCCACGTTTATTGCGCTTGTATCAAACTTCGAAGCTAAGAAAGCAGTTCGCGAAACGATAACGTACGTACAAAGCGGATAAGAGAGGAGCCTGAACTCTCCGATCGTAAACTGATTAAATTGCATTAACTGATTAAATCGCGGATGCGTAATGATGCAATAATAATAAAAGATTAGAGAGAAAAAAATATGAAATATTTATCTCAAGGTTATAAGTAGAAACTAAAATGAAATAATTAACTAAATTATAATCAAATTTTTGTATTGCTTATGCAAAAAAGTTTGCCAGCAAAGTAATTTTGCAAAATCGTATATGATAAAGAAATTATGCCAAGCGCTTGTTGAATTCGCAATGAATTCTACGACGAAACAAATTATTCAATTACAACAAATGAACAAGGACAATAAAAACATTGGTGGATTTTTTTTGAATAAGGGATGATTCAAGATGACTCTGTGGGCGTTCAATGCGTCGCAGAGCTGGATGTTCCGCACATACACTCAAAATTTTCTAATGTGTCAGAACCAAAACTAAAACTGTAACCGGAAAGAGACACATTACATTTGCACAGTTTTGACGCCGTCAACAAACACGTTTCTGTTGCTGCACTGACGTGGAGTCAGTACCAAAAATGGCTGTAACTCGGAAGAGACGCGTTTCGTATGAATATTTCACGTCAGTCTGATGAGCGCAATGCGCTTTGGAAACAACAACCTCCTTTTCGTTTGAATATATTTTTTAATGTCTTTTAATATTTCGTTTAATCAATAGTTTCAACTGGCATATTTTTAACGATTTAAAAACAATATTTACGTTTTATATTTCAATGTATAATTTATTCTAACCGGTTTATTGTTTGATCGTATTTTAAACATACACGTACAATACTCAACTTTTTTATGTTGTTGCACGCAACATAAAATTTTCAAAGAACTTTCTTATTATTTTTGGAGACATCTGTTCGTAATATTCTATCCTTTTCGCAAATTTATAAATTATCGACTTCGTGTCTGAAATATGTAATGTATACACTTGAAAAATAAAAATAATTTTATATATTATATTTTTTTATATTTATACAACATTAAATTGTGTAAATAAAATCTTTATTTTTTATTTTATATTAATTAACACGAAATAAATAATATTTTTGATTAAATTACTGTTGTTTTTCAATGGAATGCTAATAATTTTTTTGTGATTATTGAATATCTTTTTCTTAGTAAAAATAATGATAATTAAAACGATTATGAAGATCATCAGATATGTACGTTTGATTAATTTCACGATACTGTTACAAAGAAGGTATACACAGAAAATACAAGATAGCGAAGATACGTAATTTTAAAGGAATCTCGCAGCTCGCTCCACTGGCGTTGAAATATTTCTGTAGCAGGTGTTTCTTATCTCGCGACGGAATTTCGTCGACTGAATTTCTCATGTTGGATGTCTGTCTTCAAATGACAGCAAATTTCGCTTTCCTTTCCTAAACGAAACAACTGTACCGATAAGTAGCTCCGAATGTTGCCTTTCGTGTTAAATAATTTAGTATACTTCTAAATAATTTTAAATCTTTTGTTAATAATATCTGTGCTTTAAATTAAAATTCTATTGAAGGACGAATTATGTACATTAATCTACATTTTTTAAAGTTGACTCAGTTTTATAGAAGCTTTTTAATTATTTTGTATTTAAAATTATTAAAAAGTAACACGTAGTATCGAAAAATCAAATAAAATATTTCTATGACGAGAGCAAAATCCAACATTTGGATTCATCACTTCAGCCATAAAGTTTTAACCCGTTGTGCCCGTGAAGTATAACAATGAAGGAATTATCACTACTCATGAAGAGATTTTCTCAATTTTTGATTTTTACGAATATTATTCTTTAATGATAGTCGTTATCCTCTTACGACTCTAGTCTGAACGATCCGTTTAATTTTCGCTCTTGGAAATGTTTTGCACGAACGACAAGAGAGATCACGTTCCATTATTAACTTGTTCCTGATTTATCGTACATAATCTTTATCGATGGTAATTGGCTGATAATGACCTAATAATACTTAATTCTTCATGATTGTTCCCGAGGTAATGGAACTTGCCAGTTTTAAAGAGCTTATCTAGATCGTTTAAAGAAAATGGCTGTGTGATGAGTTCAATCGTTCTGCTCAACTCGTCGTGAGCAAAGTTCAGCTTTCTGGAAATTTAATGCGGCGTTTTTACTCGTGCTTTTATTATACATTGCACGATTTCTTGTCGTAATGCTCTCTCGTTTGTTCTCGCAGGTTGGTGTAAAGTTATAAATAGCAAGAAAAGGATTCTTTTTTTCCAATATCAGATACAGGCTGTAAATAAATTTACAAAACACATCGCGAGACATTTGACCGAGAGTAGAATACAGATATTTTGATAGAAAGTATCCAGTTGTCACGAAATACTCACTGGAGTACATACAGTGATACACAAAGTTGGTAATTTCGAAAATTAAAAAAAAGTTGCTTGAGAATTATTATTATTTCAGAAATACGTTACTTAAATTTTTCAGATATAATGTACAAATTTGCTTTCGCATGTCTAGTCTGCTCCTTCTTCCTGCTACATTAAAAACTTTTATAAAAAAATTCAATCAATTTCACGAGTGACAGTATTGTCTTTTCGTTTTTACTATAATAATATTATTTTTTTAAGATTACGTGCCCGCTATTTATGTAAATTCAACAGAAAATTATTGAATATTTTTGGCCTGCACGTATATCTGCAGTTATACGTCAGATCAGAAAATAACCAAATGTTTACCGGCGTGGAAACGCATTCGCGACTAAGACGTGACATCAACCGTGAGCTGCATGTGGGTAAATGTTACTATTACGACATAAATTTCGGAAGGACGAAAGGCGTATCCACTCTGTGTCGGTTCACTGTCAGCGCGACGGATCAATTGCGGCGTTGCGACGCGTATTCGAGACAAATACAACGGTAGCCCGCGTGTGTGCGCGCAGCCCCGATTAATCTCTTTCTCTCTTCCACTTGATCGTAATTCTCCCCCATCTCCCCCTTACTTTCCCCCTTCCCTTCCGCATTACGTCATTCGTCTTGTGTCTCTCCGTTCGTCAGCTTGATTTCGTTTACGTTTTTTTTTTCTTTTGCAGCGCGCGACGACGCCCACCGCCGTCGTCTTTCGCTGATTACGTAGGATCGTATGACTCCGGCGAAATTGCCCAAATTTCCGGCTTCTAGAACAACGACGTTACTGCGAGCGACAAGCTAAACGGCTAATTGAATCGTACTTCCAAGGACGTTCGGTGAAACGAATCGTCCGAACGAAATTTTCTTTCTATTTTACAGCCGGCGCCTGTTGTCGCGCAACCAGTGGTTACCAAATGTTTAGTTTCAGACGAAATTCGCTTAAAAAGATCCCCTCATTCTTGCGGCATCGTTTGAAGTTATCGACGATAACACAATTATCTCGACAACTCAATTAGAATCTCGATTAATCCCTTCCCTGCTATAATTTATCGAGTCTCATCATGTCTGATTTATTTTCATTGTTTATTCATGTGTTTCCTAGCTATTAAAAAATTGTAATTTCTCCTCATTTACACTGTTATATTGTCACGTATTTAAATTCAAATTTAACGTTTTATTTAATACATATAAATTTGACATTAAAGTTTATTCAAAGTTAGAGAAAAGAAAGATAAATTTTCATTATCTAATCGCATTCGTAAAACTAAAAAAGTTCAGTTTCCAAAACTTTAAATTACAATTAAATAGTCTTAAAATAATAACAAAGTAAGTAAATATATCTAATCAAATATTAAGGAAATGTAAAAATGTCATGCATATTTCATTCTACAAAAAAATTTCTTAGTACTATAAAGATCTCTTTAATCTCTGCAATCATATGTATCACAA